TCGTGGATATCCGATATTTTTCGCTCTGCTTCAAGTCAAAAGAAATGAAATGATGATGATATGAGGACGTCTGTGTGATCAAAGTAATCTGAGTGATCACATCTTTCCAAACATGCACCAAGTCAAGAGGCTGAATCACTTCATCATCACTGCGTGCAAACATCGGTGCAGTTACTCGTGTCTGTTTCCTGGGTGAGTGAATTAAATCACCCAGGAAATCCGTACAAATACAGAAAATATTATGTTTATTCGTTCCTGGTAAAGACACTCCAGGCTTCACATGCTCCGCTTGTCCATGTGACGCTCAGCTCATCCAGCCCTCTCTCTTTAAGAACTTCACGGCGTCCGTGAAACCTTCTTCACATAACGATCGCATGGCGCCGGCGGACGGAGGGAACAGAGCCTGATTCAGACGTTTGAGGTTCTCCACGGAAAACTGAGGAAGCCAATGGAAACACGGCATCACATCAACAGAGTCAGTGACACACGTGACACGCAGCCAATCACAGCTGCTGCACTTTGTGCTGTGAGCTGCATCAAATCACATTTACAGCTTCATCTTCTAATGAGATCAAAGATTTCTGGTTCAGGCAGCACATCTACGATTACACAACTCTTTACCTTCATTATTAAAGTGATATCAAAGACTGATATCTGCACTGTGACCATGTGACCTGTCAGGTCTGATTGCACCTCCACATATCTGAATGTGACTCTTTTTCACAGCTGCAGCACTTTGGTTTCAGACTCTGGAAATTTGAAGCTGCTGAAGAAGCTGAACACAACCAGCAGGTCGGAGCACTGGGTGGTGGTGGTGGTGTGCTCCACGTGCACTAACAGGAAGTACTATTTATGGTAAAAAGCTGAAACGTGGAGAACAATCTGGGAGTTCAGGTTTCTCCTTACAGACCAATCAGATGCTCCGGTTCTCACCATTATGTTCATGTTGGCCAATCTGAGTTGAGTTTTGAACCGCCCCCTGTGGATCGGACACACATCCTGCCGTCCAGCAAAGGGTGACACTGTGATGGTTCGTCCCACGGGCAGGATGGGCAGGCTGTCCGTGAATCCTCCATCAATCCATCTCTACAGAAGACAAAGAGCCTGCTGGTCACACAACAAAAAGGTTTAAGCTGTTTAGACTTTCAATCATAAACATGCTAACAGGACTCTTTCCTCCTCAAAGCTCTTTACACCCATTCACCCATTCACCCATTCACAGTCTCATTCACAGTCTTTCATAGCCCAAGGACATGTGGAGCAGCCAGGGTGGAACCATCAACCTTCTGATTAGCAGATGACCTGCTTGACATGCTGAGCTA